TTAAAAACTCAATAAAATTCATACCCCCACTGGCTGCTTAACTCGTGTTAAAAACTCAATAAAATTCATACCCCCACTGGCTGCTTAACTCGTGTTAAAAACTCAATAAAATTCATACCCTCACTGGATGCATAACTCGTGTTAAAAACTCAGTAAAATTCATTCCCCACTGGCTGCTTAACCCGTATTAAAAACTCAATAAAATTTACACCCCACTGGCTGCTTAACCCGGGTTAAAAACTCAATAAAATTCATACCCCATTAAATTCCTGAAGACCTGCCAACCAGAGGGCTGGCCATAAGCAGTTAATGGCAACTTGTACTGAGCCTCGTTCTGATCAAGTGGTTCCGGCCCTGCTGTTCCGTATTTCCGGTATCGAGCACCTTCTGTTCTAAATTTATCAACTAAAGCTGCGATCTGGTTACTGGATTCGATGAATCTCTCTCGTGTACGACGGTCAACTGTAGCCAAACACACTGCAAAGATATTGTGATATTAGTAAACACAAACAACATTAAGAAACATGCTTGCTAGTCAACACTGCTTTATACTTAATATCACCTAAAAGTTAAAGTACAACCCACATATTAACAGTGATTCACCAGTGTCTTTACATGTTTATAGTAAGGCTGTGGTATAATGAACACCCTGTCGTGGTTAATAACCCAGACAATATCTCTCGAGGCTAACTATTAATTTGCTACTTTTTTGTAATAAGTTAGCAGTTGCTATTAGGTAATCATATAGGCATGACAATGACCATACAGAGTGACATGTGTGTCTCCTAACTAATGGAAAATAAATTTTGAAGTTTCACCGAGACTGAAAAATACTTGAAGTAATTCATTAATGGATTTTCTAACCCAGAACGCAGAAATCCTATACTTTGGCAACTTACCACGACAATGACCAATATCCTTGTTACTACAGTAACAGAAAGGTATATAGATATAGAAGTAAAACCACATGGACTTTCCATACCCTAACTAAGGAAAAATAAGTTATTGAAGACTAGAGGATACTTACAGTAATACATCAATGGGTTTTCCAGCTCGGGACACGGAAATCCTATGCTTCGGAAATAATCCAACATCATCCGAGTACTTCCTGAAAGCAAAATAATGTTATAATGTAAGAAATTATGTTCAACACATTCCATGTAGTTGGCATTGATGTATTGTAAACATCTACAATCCAATTTCGATGACGAGGAACCCACTTTGAGACTAATAATGGTTAGGAACCACAGCATCATATCCAAACAGAAACAAAAAAACACTCCCTTAACTATTATGAAACTTGCTCTTCATATCCAAACAGAAACAATAAAACTCACCCG